GTCCTTAGCGGGTTTACGTCACAGTGCTTGCAAACGTGACTTTAAGCATGGCTAACTGACGACCGCAAATAAACCAGAAATGGTCATCTTAATTTCATGTGTCTCTGTCGGTAATGTTCTTCTTCCATATTCATATACACAAGTTAAACGCAACAGTTTATTTATTCATAATGCATACCACAGTCTACGACCCACATGGTGAGGCAGTAGTGTAATGAGAACTACAAACCTGATGAGAAGGAGAAGGTGCTACCACGGGAACAAGAAGCTTATTAATCTGAAGTTTCAGATTCTGGGTTGAAACAATCATTAGGGACAACCGCAGAAAATTAGGATAAAATTTAACGGGGGCGAAATCCACGCAAGAGGTCACAACCGCGTGAGCCGCAAGTTGCTCGAGCCATGGATCTCAGGGCCAAATGCCATTATCAAGCGTCTTTCCCAGACCCTTTACCGAGACCTTGCCTTAGCAGGGGATCTGTCGTGCCGACGATACCGACCCTAATTACTGCATAATTATCACGGCAACACCCAGTACGGACGATGAACCCGCGATTCGCACGCGAACTGCCAAGTCATCGTCTCATCAATCACGGCCCCAAGCGATTATCACCAGATCTGCTAATTTTAGTACCCACGTGGTGGCGTACCCACTACGGACTACGGATACAACACACCCTGCGCCTTGATCACACTTTTCTTGGGTCTTCTCTCACGGTAAGGCCAATAAACGTCTTGTACTTGCAATCGCATCTTTCGAACTGCTTACCGGAACGTACATGCTTTCTTCTTACAGTAATAACCTTACGTTATCCACGTCCGCCTTCTGTAGATTGTCAAGTCCCCACACAGAAGGAACTGGCACGCTTGAGGTCAGTTCTAGAAGAGGACCAATCAACTATCAAGCCGCTACTGTCCAAATTCCGTGCCCTTCAATCCGATATCCTTCGGCTATCCGCGGACATCGACTACCAGCCGCAGAATGCGAAGGAACAATCTGTGCTGACGCCAGACGGTAGCGGGGATCGAGAAGACGGCCAACCAGCAGAGGCCAATGGCGAACCCACTGTCGATATTGATAGCGAAATTCAGGCAATGCAGGCGAAGTGCAGTGGAGCCCTCCCCACCGAAGGGGATCTGGAGGTAAGCCTTGGAGGTACCCTTTTGTAAAGATTTCATTGCATCTGGTAAGCGGATAAAGCCATTGGTTAGGACGAAGGCAAATACCATCTGCTGTCTACATGAACTTTGGACACTTCGGCAATTCGCAAAAAATATTGGCAAATGGCATACTTAGACGGACTGTTTAGCCTCGTTTTCCATCGCTGGACCGAACTAAAGGCGAAGCATGGAAGAAAGGAGAGAAATAGAACGCGAGTGAGCCACGAGCTGCTCTAGTCATGATTCTCAGGCCCCCAGTCCATCAACAAGCACAACGATTTGGCGTTCCCATACGCCTGAGAAATTTCCTGAGGAAGAGAATCAGTGACGTGGGAAGGGCCGGGCGCAGCAACAACTCTGACGACAGTGGGCTTAAGTGTCGCGCAATTATCAAACGCGCAAACGACGCGAACTGGGAACTGTTTAGACTACTAGTCGCTATGTGGCTGCTGGTGGAGCTCAGATAATGAGCTCCATAGCAGATAGAGACGATGAGTTCCGTTAGCGATCGGTGAACGGTAATCAACGGGTATAGAGGCTTTACAATATATTTAAACTGCTATGTTTGCACTGCTGATAAAAAGTATATAACTCTTGGAAAAGAATAACAGAGAACAGTTTAAAGCCTAGTTTGGATATAATTATAAGTAGTATGGAGCTTAAGTAGACTTGAATAGTTCATTGGACCCATTTATGAAAATCCTGGTGGCCTCGGAGATATTAAGGCCTACGATTGCAGGGGAAGGCTTCAGTGCAGCCAGCGCCGAGACGTGAGGCCCTGCCGGCATATGCCGGCTGATTAAGGTCATTTTACAGTAGTGGCTAGTAAATTAATTAACCCAAATAAATAAAAATCGCGGAAAATTCAGAGCAAATTATTCATTCACCTCCAACGGTCGGCTTTCTACGGAACGCCCTCCATCTCCTTTCGTGATATTTCTAGGTACGATCTGTCCAAACGCATGCTTGTTTACCTCGTGTTCCTGATAAAAAGCTCGGTAAGGATGATTTGCATAGTTGTGAGTGCTTCTTACGAGCCCTATAAATTAATTTTACCCATTCGCAAGTCGGTTATTTAGGTGCAGCTTAATTAACGCAGTTTTCGAGTTAGATAAACACATTATATGAATATGCGAAAATATTCGCGGTCCAGAGATAATTTTACCTTCATTTTCCCC